TAGGTGAGTATACTGCTGCCTTCTCCATACCGCCATGGCTCGCTGCCCACCGTGAAAGACATCACCACCCCCACCCCCCTAGCATGGTGATATTTCCAGAGACCTTGTGAGGAGGTGAAGATGTCGGCCGCCCCTCGCCCGAAAGGAACGGACGCAGTGACCCCTAGATACTTACACAGGTACGGCCAGGTCACCGGTACTCACAGGTACGGCCAGGTCACCGGTACTCACCGGAGACACGGCCAGGTCACCGGTACTCACCGGAGACACGGCCAGGTCACCGGTACTCACCGGAGACACGGCCAGGTCACCGGTACTCACCGGAGACACCTGCTCTGGTTATTATACCTGGACCGCTGAACTAATCTTGTGGCTTTATATAATAAACAATCTCATACGCCAACAATGAACAATTTACAGATTCATAGGTGAGGCAGCACGGAGCCTAGCGTGTGAATCACAGCCTGGTTGATCCCCTATGTAACTATACAACATTTTAAAAATTATCTAATGTATACATTTTATGAAGAAAATTTTATTATTAGTCTCCATAATGCGTTGGAGATCGTTCTTTGAAAAAAAATTATAAATTAAAAAAAAAAAGTCAAATTAAGCCGCCATAGAAAAGAAAACGTTTTGTTTAATAGTTATGGATGAGGATGTCTCTAAGATGGACCCCTTAATGTTTCATGTGTTGCCCAATCACCTCAGTACTATCGTTCAAGGGGAGGTGACAGGCCATAGTCCAGACCTTGGCACACATTGTAGTAAGACTTGCTATATTACCTCTCTTTTCATGTTTTTTTTTTGGGGGGGGTTAGACTTGATAAGTCTTTTTAAAGTCATTTGAGTGTCGAGAGCCACACATGTTGTTAGTTCCCTGATTGGGTGATTTGTGGGATTTAGAGCTACTTATATTGCTTGTTTCTTAACGTCAGGGATGATATGGTTATCTTGAGATGATTTCGGGGCTTTTTAGTGTCCCCGCGGCCCGGTCCTCGACCAGGCCTCCACCCCCCAGCAAGCAGCCCGTGACAGCTGACTAACACCCAGGTACCTATTTTACTGCTAGGTAACAGGGGCATAGGGTGAAAGAAACTTCGGCCGACTGGCTCCCTTCATAGATATGGGAGTACTGTATCATCTTAGCATCCCTTGTTGGGCAGTGTGGTAGCCCTCACAAGGGTCGTTCATACGTCTTAACTACATGAAGTAACTAACATCTTTAACACTTGGGTAAGACTTGGGTAAATACTGGTTCACTAACAGGGGTTGTTGATTTGTGGAACCAATTGCCGCGTAACGTGGTGGAGGTGGTGTCCCTCGATTGTTTCAAGCGCGGGTTGGACAAGTATATGAGTGGGATTGGGTGGTTATAAATAGGAGCTGCCTCGTATGGGCCAATAGGCCTTCTGCAGTTACCTTTGTTCTTATGTTCTTATGTTCTTAACACGACCTCAGACGAGGCTCCTCCTGGCGCTGACAGTCATAAACTTCACCGTATTCACAGTACATTTTTTGTTAGAAATATATTAATATTATTATATATACTGTACAGTTAGGTGTATGTAGGCTTGTTAAGATGTTTATATAGATTCTGTCGGCAATCATTTGTATATGTAGTATTAAGGGGAATTATTCACAGCAACCCGTCCACCAAACTGTGTTCATTCCACCCAGCGGCCGACCCCAGAGACGCTGGCTTTATATAATGAACAATACATCGCCATCAGTGTTAACAATGAAGTTCATTCAAGATAGGAATTTTCTCAAATATAAATATATATATATATATATATATATATATATATATATATATATATATATATATATGAATATTATTATATATTAGCATAATTGGGCGTAGGTTAGGTTAGGTAATTAGGTTAGGTTAGGTTAGGCTAGGTTAGGTTAGGTTAGGTTAGGTTAGATTAGGCTAAGTTAGGTTAGGTTAGGTTAGGTTAGGCTAGGTTAGGTGTTTAGGTTAGGTTGCCTCGTCAACAAAGGCCAAACGTCCATTCCATTGTCGCACACGATGCCAAAATGCTACTCTTTTTCGACATGATTTGACGTGCGTAAAATATGAAATAACTTTTGCCCAACCCGCAGCGTAACGAGCGACGCAGACTCATCTAACCTGTGCTCATTCAACCCGTTCTCGCAAATTCGTATAGTCAATATTGACTTATTAACTACGTGCATAAGTGATATACTAAACATAATAGATACCCTTAAAAAGCTTCATAGAAAACACCGACCTTACCTAACCTTGTTAGTATGTTAAGATAAGCATCTTATTGCTTCATAATTACAATTATTACTTAACCTATACCTATAATAGGTCACCTATGCACTTATTTAATAAGTCAATATTGACTATACGAATTTGCGAGAGCTCATTAGTGCAGGAGAAACGTCAGTATTGCGGTGCTTCTAATTTGTTTATCTCATTTGAATTGTGACGTTGTCAATAGCGTCAAAGTTTCAGTGTATCGAATATGACACCTTAACAACTGAACCTTTCTCACACGTATTAAATGTCACTTTCTTACGTCAATTACGTTAACGGCAGTCTCCGTGGTGTAGTGGTACTCGCCTGGCGTTCCGCGAGCGCTATGTCATGGGTTCGTATCCTGGCCGGGGAGGATTTACTGGGCGCAATTCCTTAACTGTAGCCTCTGTTTAACGCAACAGTAAAATGTGTACTTGGCTGTAACAACGATTCTTCGCGGCGGGGATCGTATTCCAGGGACCTGCCCGAAACGCTACGCGTACTAGTGGCTGTACAAGAATGTAACAACTCTTGTATATATCTCAAAAAAAAACCCATTAATGTGGGAATCAACATTACACATTCAGACGACTGAATAGTTTTTACAATCCAATAAATTGTTAAAAAAATAAAAAATTAACGTGACTGGCAAGTTCACACAGTTACCAAGAGATGGCGTAGCAATGCACTTTATTCTTCAAGTTAACAGCTCTACTTCTCGTTAGTGAGGTGGAGATGATTGTGGCTGTCTCAAGACAATACTACTTACTCACGAAGGTGATCCAGCAAGTCACCGAGTTTTGTAAGTAATTTTAAAAAAAATATTGAACTGAAGTGAACATCTCTAGTCACACCTGTACAGCAGGTATGACTAGTCACACCTGTACAGCAGGTATGACTAGTCACACCTGTACAGCAGGTATGACTAGTCACACCTGTACAGCAGGTATGACTAGTCACACCTGTACAGCAGGTATGACTAGTCACACCTGTACAGCAGGTATGACTAGTCATACCTGTACAGCAGGTATGACTAGTCACACCTGTACAGCAGGTATGACTAGTCATACCTGTACAGCAGGTATGACTAGTCACACCTGTACAGCAGGTATGACTAGTCATACCTGTACAGCAGGTATGACTAGTCACACCTGTACAGCAGGTATGACTAGTCATACCTGTACAGCAGGTATGACTAGTCATACCTGTACAGCAGGTATGACTAGTCACACCTGTACAGCAGGTATGACTAGTCATACCTGTACAGCAGGTATGACTAGTCACACCTGTACAGCAGGTATGACTAGTCACACCTGTACAGCAGGTATGACTAGTCACACCTGTACAGCAGGTATGACTAGTCATACCTGTACAGCAGGTATGACTAGTCACACCTGTACAGCAGGTATGACTAGTCACACCTGTACAGCAGGTATGACTAGTCACACCTGTACAGCAGGTATGACTAGTCACACCTGTACAGCAGGTATGACTAGTCACACCTGTACAGCAGGTATGACTAGTCACACCTGTACAGCAGGTATGACTAGTCACACCTGTACAGCAGGTATGACTAGTCACACCTGTACTGCAGGTATGACTAGTCATACCTGTTCAGCAGGTATGACTAGTCACATCTGTACAGCAGGTATGACTAGTTATACCTGTACAGCAGGTATGACTAGTCACACCTGTACAGCAGGTATGACTAGTCACACCTGTACAGCAGGTATGACTAGTCACACCTGTACAGCAGGTATGACTAGTCACACCTGTACAGCAGGTATGACTAGTCACATATTCACTTTCAGTTTACACACACATAATCGCTTTCATAACCGCCCCCTGGAATTTCATTTCAGTATGAATGACGTGTAATATAAAATACATAATTTTAATTGTGAGATACAGAATAAATACACGTGAGGCTATACTTCGCTTCTCGGTGTATATATATTGTGAGTTGACTCGGGTCCTGAATTATATAAACAGGACTGGAGTATACTTGGCCACAGTGATCACTTGTGTGGCCTTGTTTGATAGGCCTAAGGGGCCAATATACCTTAGGCCTATCAAGATACACAAATATGCGGCATATTTGTTTAAACAAAAAACCATTTAGCTGAAGCTATTTACCTTAGGTAGACAATGTGTATATATCACGAGAACAAAGACTAAAACACAGACTAGAACAGAACACTAGAACACAGACTGGAACAGAACACTAGAACACAGACTAGAACAGAACACTAGAACACAGACTAGAACAAAACACTAGAACACAGACTAGAACAAAACACTAGAACAGAACACTAGAACACAGACTGGAACAGAACACTAGAACACAGACTAGAACAGAACACTAGAACACAGACTAGAACAGAACACTAGAACACAGACTAGAACAAAACACTAGAACAGAACACTAGAACACAGACTGGAACAGAACACTAGAACAGAATCTGTAGATTGACTGCGATGGTTGCCAGAGGTCGCCATTGATCGTTCCTCAATCATGACGACTTAGTTTATTTGTTCGAGGTACGAGGTTGTCATTACGGATAATAACAATGGGTTGGGAACGACCACAGTGTTACCAAGCCCGTAAACTGTTAAATAAATATAGACGAAGCTGTCATGATCGGGGGTAAAGATGTACAGGTTTCGTAAGTAAGCACAAAAAATGCTTGATGAATCGTGGTGTTGATCCGAACAATGAGAGCCTTACCTCGTCCATGAGTTAGGAGGGGAGACGCCAGCAGGAGGAGACACAGCAGCAGCAGGGAAGAGCAGGAGGCCTGAGTGCAGCAGCAGCAACAGCAGGAGCACTTCCCCTGCCGCACCTGCCAGACTCTAGCTCTTGGGCCTCGGCTCTGGACCGCCATCCTCACAGGCCGGAATACCTTCCCCACCTTCGTCAGGTTGCTGGCGCGACTCCTGATCACCGAGACCAAGCTCTTCCCTTCATCTAATGGTCAGGATGTTGTTGTTAAAGATTCGCTACCTGGAACAAAGTTCCAAGTAGCACGGGCTATGGTGAGCCCGTAGCCCAATGGTCAGGAGACGCCGTTGATGGTGGCGGACCTTTGCCGCACCTTCAGGATGTTCCTTCAGGCGACTCACTCACTATAAGATATGTTTGGTCTTCATCTGCTGGTCACTGGTGCTGCCATCTGGAAGCCAATACAAGAAAAGACATTCAGTTCAATGATCTTGTGCATATATGTAATAACTCATCTAATTGTGCCAGGCTCTCTACAGTGATGAGTTGCCCTGATGTGCAACACTGTAGCAAGGCCTAGTACAGATAACTGTTATTTGAGACCTAACGTGAGAGATAGATATATATAGATTGATAAACAGTGGTGACCTAACTTATATCAGTGGCGTATAACAGTTGTGACCCAGTCTGACAGTGAGAGGGGGACAGTAATGACCCGCTATGTGTCAGTGGGAGGGAATAATGGTGACCCCAGTGTAGGCGTGGGTGACCTGACCCCCCTAGTGTTAGAGGGAGGAGATACACCAAGCTATGATGACCTAGTTGCTGTAGAAGGCGACGCCGCTGCTCCAATGGGAGGGAGGGAGGGAGGGTTTAAGAGGTAAGCAATGTGTTGAGGGAGAAAGGCGTATAGAGCTTAGCGGGGGGGGGGGGGGAGGAGGGCGTAAGGTCAGAAGGTCAGAGGTACACACTGACTGGTCCCAGGAGCCACAGCTCCGTCTCTCAGTGCATCACTCCGTAGAGGAATGCGACTGTTTAGCATAACCAGACACGTGCGAACCCAAGCAACCCCCCGCACCCAACCTTTCAAGATCTTGCATGGGAAGACGTTAGTATTATGTTGTTTTAATTTGTAATAATCCGTTACAAATGCGACGTATTAGGTAAAAGGACAAGTTGACTCGACATGATGTTAGTGGAGTGATATTTACATAAGGTGTGGAGAGCCCTCACCTGGAGAGCCCAGCGACGCCCACATGGGCATTCCGGACCACGTGGGCACACACACACACACACACACACACACACACACACACACACACACACACACACACACACACACACACACACACACACACACACACACACACACATATATATAATATGCATCCACCGCAAACATTGCCATCAAGGTTAGGTTAGGTTAGGTCATTGACATGGATGAGGAATTGTATGGGTCCCTTACTGCCATTCAGACACTCTGCCACTATGTCCTGGTAACTCAGGAAGGTATTGTGAACCGTCAGAACATAGTGAAGGACCCACAATATTCACACCAATGATGAAAGGACTCTGAATACTTGAGGTCGTGTTCATTAACGAGCAGATACCAGTAATCCACATTCGAATTAATTCAACTTCGAGGATACAATTGTATGATGGCTCTCCATTGATTGTCAGCGGAGGGTGTCCTCCTGTGGACACGTCAGTCAACGGGAGCAGGAAGATGGTGTCCGTCTCCCCGAAGTATGTGAGAGTTAGAGGACAAGGTCGGTGCAGCCCTGAGAGAGAGAGAGAGAGAGAGAGACAGAGGAGGAGGGGACTTACGTGTGTGAATGGAAGAAAACGCGGAAAGGAAAAATAAAACTAGATTTCTTTTTATGTTTTCTTGTAAATCAACTTACGTAATTATCAAACAAAGTAAGATTTCATGTCAACATTGACAATAAGAACTAAATAACACAATTCAGATTCCAAAAGATTCAAAGATACTATGCAAAATTCTTCACAATGACGTGACGCGGGGAATTCGGTAATGATTGATTTAATTTGATCTTGCATAGACTGTCCCCTCACCACAACCCCTCACCCCACAACTGTCCCCTCACCCCACAACCCCTCACCCCACAACTCTCCCCCCACCACAACCCCTCACCCCACAACTATCCCCCCCTCACCACAACCCCTCACCCCAACCCCCCTCACCACAACCCCCCTCACCACAACCCCTCACCCCAACCCCCCCTCACCACAACCCCTCACCCCACAGCTAGTATCCTCCTCCTATCAAATAACACAAGCCACGCAACACCTCCTTAGCAATAACCACTCGAATTGCAAAAATAAAACCTCTTTGTTGTGGGACATTTCAGGATGGTTTAAGATTTGTTGTTTGTCCAACTTTGCAGTTGATTGTTCAGGTGCAACAACATTGCAATGTTCTCAAGCATATTGAAGCGTGTCAGGTCGTCCGCTTGGGGAGGTTGGTAACACTGCTTGATGACTTCACCAGAGCCCTCGCTGATGACTTAACCTGCACTATGGCCTGCAGACCTGCACTATGGTCTGCAGACCTGCACTATGGCCTGCAGACCTGCACTATGGCCTGCAGACCTGCACTATGGTCTGCAGACCTGCACTATGGCCTGCAGACCTGCACTATGGCCTGCAGACCTGCACTATGGCCTGCAGACCTGCACTATGGTCTGCAGACCTGCACTATGGCCTGCAGACCTGCACTATGGCCTGCAGACCTGCACTATGACCTGCACTATGGCCTGCAGACCTGCACTATGGCCTGCAGACCTGCACTATGGTCTGCAGACCTGCACTATGGCCTGCAGACCTGCACTATGGCCTGCAGACCTGCACTATGGCCTGCAGACCTGCACTATGGCCTGCAGACCTGCACTATGGCCTGCAGACCTGCACTATGGCCTGCAGACCTGCACTATGGCCTGCAGACCTGCACTATGGCCTGCAGACCTGCACTATGGCCTGCAGACCTGCACTATGGCCTGCAGACCTGCACTATGGCCTGCAGACCTGCACTATGGCCTGCAGACCTGCACTATGGCCTGCAGACCTGCACTATAGCCTGCAGATCTGCACTATGGCCTGCAGACCTGCACTATAGCCTGCAGACCTGCACTATAGCCTGCAGATCTGCACTATGGCCTGCAGACCTGCACTATAGCCTGCAGACCTGCACTATGGCCTGCAGACCTGCACTATGGTCTGCAGACCTGCACTATGGTCTGCAGACCTGCACTATGGCCTGCAGACCTGCACTATGGCCTGCAGACCTGCACTATGGCCTGCAGACCTGCACTATGGCCTGCAGACCTGCACTATAGCCTGCAGACCTGCACTATAGCCTGCAGACCTACACAAGGGAATACATTTTATATTTTGTATATTTTATTCATAGCCTCGTTACTATTGTTTCTGGAAAACCTGTTGATTTGTCTATTTATCTATATATTTATCTATTTCCATATTACAATATAATACAGTATTTCAATATTATTCAGTATTTCAAGACTGTAGGATTGTAAATTCGGAGAGGCAGCTCCATCATGCAACCCACTATAGTTCCCTAACTCCCATATTTACCCATTTTACCGCTAGGTGAGCAGATGTATCAGCGGAAAGGCAACGTGCCCAACCGTTTCTGTCCCGCCCCGGGGACTGAACCCGTCCGGGTTGTGAGTTAAGAGGCGGCATTTCCAAGTCAAATTCCGGTTATTTACTTTTGTAAGCGTAACTACCGCCAGCATAGTCCCCCTGGTGTAGGATGACGCGAGGTGATAGGCTGACTAGTCCCTTGAGTCGTTAAGGAAGGTGGTGGGGAGGTGGGGGAGGTGGTGGGGGAGGTGGGGGGGAGAGTGCAAGAGAGTCCACGTGGGACTGTTTACCTCTGGGAGGGACCCGCCACTCTGACGATTCCCAGCGGTACTCACCTCTCAGCGTCTCAGTGGGTCAGCCAGTGATCATTCACTCAATCACTCATGGAAGGAAAGGACGCAGATGAAAGGGAGAGAGAGTGAGTACCAGCTAACACCCGGAAAGGAAAAGATGACGGCCGTTGGAGAGAGCGGAGAGCGATAACAGGTCATCTAATCAAATCTACGCCAATCACGCGTGGATGATCCATGGACTCACAAACAGTAGGTAATGAGGATGGGTGAGATAAGGAAAAGGTTGAGGCAGGAGAGGTCACAGGGAGGCCAGAGATGTACCGACCCAGCAGCAGCAGCAGCAGCAGGAGATGACTGCAGAAACCATCACCATCACCACTAATGCCTGACAGCTTCACCTCCCCCTCCTCTCCCCCTAATCTTCCCCTCTCTCACCATCCCTACTACGCCAGAGCACCTCACCATCTTCTCATTACCGGTATGCAAAAACTGTGTCCTGGGGTACAGAACTTTCCACTTCACTTGGACTTAATCAGTTGATTGACCTGACCTTTTTGCAAACAGAATGCAAAGATTAATAGTCAATTAAGATGAAGTGCAGTGAAAAGCTTTGTACCGCAGGGCACAGTCCTTGGACTAATTCTCTTTCTTATTCTTATCTCGGATTTAGACAAAATTACTAGTCACAGCTTCGTGTCATTCTTTGTAAATGATTTAAAAATCTGCATGAAAATTTCCTCTGTATAAGACACTGAAAAATATGTCGATATTAATAAAGTCTTTGAGTGTGCAATGGAAAATAACATGATGCTTAAGTGATAAGTTTCAGGTACTTACAGGAATGACAGAAACGAGGAACTTGTCATAGTTCGAAATACAGGGTGCAAGACACGGTCACACTTACTCTTAGAAGAAAAATCACATGTAAAACTTTTGGGAATTTTAAGATATCTGACGATCTGACTTTCAGTGAACACAATCGATCAAATATAACGGCAGCCAGGAAAATGATAGGATGGATTATGAGAACGTTCAGATACAGGGATCTCACAGCAATGCTAATGCTGTTTAAATCACTAATGCTCTTCCGTCTTGAATACTGCTCAGTACTCACTTTTCCCTTTCACAGCAAGAGAGATTTGTGGAATAGAGGGAATACAGAGAACATATACAGCACGCATAGACACGATAAAGCACCTAAATTATTGGGACCGCCTTGAAGCTCTCATAATATAATTCGCAGGTTCGAATCCTCGTCACGGCCCTTGTGGATTTGTTCTCATAATATACTCTTTGGAAAAGAGAAGAGGTACCCTCTAATACCTTTTCCATACCTGTAGAGGATTCCGGGAGTTCCTCTACTCCCCGAGCCAGAGGAGAGGGCCCAGAAATATATTCATGGAAGATACTGGAGGGACAGTTCTCAAATTTGCACAATAGAATAACAACATACTGGAGCGAAAGATACGGACGGAAATGCAGAATAGAACCAGTGAGAAGTTGAGGCGCCACAAACAAAATCAGAGAGCAT